CGCCAGGCCGAGACACAGGCAGCTGTGCTGACCGCACTTACTGACCAGAAGAATCTCCCCAGAACTTCTTTATTTGCCTCTCTGAAGGCAAATGATATTGCTGTATTTTGGCGGAGGACCTGCGGGCTTCTTGGAGTAATTTAGCTTTATTTTATTTAACATGGGGCTGTAATCGCAGGATAAAGCAGGTTTGGCCCAGTTAATGCAACCAGTCACAGAGTCGAGATTAGAAAATTGTCTCTCAACTACAGGCTGCTCAGGCTAATTGCTAGAGCAATGGCACTGATGAACTGTGGTGGGGCTGCTCTGCATTTGCTGGCGCTAACAGCACCCACCTGCCTGCCCAGCGTGCCCTGTTGCCCCTTCGGCCTTGCAGAGTGTCTTTTCTGGATGGCCCCTGTATGGAGCAGGCAGCCGCGTGCGATGGGTGCCCGGGGCAGCGAAGCAGGGGCAGAATGTGCTGGCGCGGTGGAGCAGGCCCCAACAGCCCAAGGAGGCCCAGCAGGGCTGGGAAAGGCTCCAGGCAGCGCCGCGGCCGCACGGGGACTCGGCCTGCAGGACGGGGCGACCAGCAGCAGCGCGGGGACTCCCCGGGGGCTGCCGCGAGGGCCGCTCCAACTGGTCCCTCACCATGCAGGTTTCCACGCAGCTGATGAGGTGTGCGCCTGCTGCAGAGGCCTCACTCTGCGACGGTGAAAGCCCATAGCCCTTCTCTTAATAGTGCCCTATGTATTTATGTGAGAGTTGCCCCAGCTGTTCCCTGGTTGCACAGACGCACAGGTACCGAGATGCAAATGATTTAGCTTGAGTCAATTCTCTAATTCACTGAATTGCCTTTCTCTCCTCTTTGCTGAGGGATCACTGTTTTCTGTGGCCAATTTGTTACCTGAGTGCTCTATCCGTGATACAGCAGCTAACAGGGCCTTATTAATGATGAGGTGTCAAGGGAGAATCACAAAAGGTGCAAGTCGATAGCCAGACTGCCCTATGTGCTTGGGCTGGGTCTCCAAGCGGGTCTGCCGAGGGTGTCACGCTGAGCAGGCACCCATACCTCAGCAGGGCAGTACCTTCCCAGCCACCACAGTTCCTACAGCTTCCCAAACCACGAGCTGGATCTGCTCCAGTAAACGAGAGCAGAATAATGGGTCCAGGGAGCACTTCCTGGTCAAGTCTTCTGGTCTAGTCTTTCCCATCCTTCCAGAGGGAAGGAGGTAAGAGGTGTCTGAGAAGTGGAAAGGGCCAGCTGAAACCTGGCTATTTAGTTATTTGATTTTTATTTCTTGGGGAGAAGACTCTGAGGAAAGTGAGAAACTGATGTGTCCAGATTCACTTGTGTTAATGCCAGATTGTGGCACGTTGTCCTGGGGACTGGACTGTGAGGAATAGCTGGTAGGTTTTGCTTTGGATGCTCCAAATAAATGTGGGATTGCTAAAACCTCTCAGTTGTTTTCAGTCTGGCATGTCATGCCTGCACCAGGCAGAGCAACCCAGACATGTCAGGACATTGGGACACTGCAATTACCTTCTCTGGCAGCTGTGTTAGGCCATTTGTGTTATTTGCAGTCAGCTCCTACTTTTCTGATGAGTCTGCAAACCTTGTTCATTTTGCATTTGCAAGTGTTTTTGTTTATGCTTTGTTCCAAATAAAACTACTGTGAGATTAGGCAGAGATTGTCACAACAGCCTTATGTTCAATGGAACATCTCTGGCAAACATATGTTAAATTCATCACTAAAGTATATTTTTTTTCTTATTTTATCAACAGTAGTCCAGAGCGATCTGCATCCAATGGCATGGATCCAGAAAGGGTGCTTGAATCCGGAATAAAAGTGCTGTGAAGCACCCAGGGTAGGTGGTTTTATCTTTGGCTCTATTAAACAGGCTACATTTTCTGAACTACAATGCCCTCAGCTGATTTTTGAAATGACAGGGTCTTGCCCAGGACTGACAAAATTAATGCTTGCTAATCATCCCATCTGCTACTTATTTTCCTTAAATTTGTGCAACACACTTCAACCTTGGCCTTGGGTGGCCTGGGACAAATGCACGATTATCCCCTATTTTTCAGATGGGACAGCTGAAGCAAGGAGAGGCAGTGAGCAATCTTAGAAGAGGGAATGAGCTCCTGCTGATCGCCTGGGCCTAAGAGCATGCTGCCTTCTGGAACGATGGAGCACGCTGTGAACTACTCTGATACAGGTCAGACTCTTAGTGACTAGGATGGTGAAGCACTGCAACAGTCTCAGGACAGGATGAAGTAAGCGCAGGGGATTTTCTAAAACCGAGAGTAGACAAATATCTCTGAAGAATATTTTAGGCAGAGAAGTTCCATCCCTAGTAGTCTCCTAATGGCTCTGCTGAGATGTGTTTTTCCTGAACAAAATCACTGCTTTTTGATACTGCTTGAGGATGGTATTTCAGGCCTGATGTTAAAAACAATGATACTGTCTGCCCAATTCTCCTAGCTAGTTAGTTAGCTAGTTAGTTAATCACAGTCATCTTTAGGTTTCTCTTTAGTACATCCTGTGAAGTGAGAGCTTTGCTGTCCATACCTCGCCTTAAAAACTAGTAAATTCCAAGCTGTAGGGGATGTATATCTATGTAATGTGCATGCTCACGTTGGTGTCAGTCATGGCAAATGAGCATGGAGCAAGGCTAAGGCTGTGAAGAATGCTCTTTTCATTCCAGTAGGAAGTTCACTGCTCACCTGAGCAGCAGATGCTTTTGAACATGGAGATGACAGAAACAAAGCTGGTGTCACTTACCTTCAGATTAATGTAAGCTGCTGGGGGGGCCCCCAACAGTTTCCCCTTTGGGGAATGCCACTTGCTGATAGTTATCCCTCATACCCCCCTGCTTGCCTCCCACCCAGTCCTCATTGTGTCTACCAAAGATGAAAACTTATCTCAGAGCACCTCTGTGTATGGAAATTGTTATGATGAGAAAAAAAAAAAGTTTGTATTAGACAGCCTAACAAAAAAAAGTCTCATGAGACCCCTGGGATGAACTGACTGCTGGAAGAGAAGCCACGACCCATTGAGTTAGCCTTGTATTTTTGATATATGGACCCCCTTACTATCTGAACGTATGCCAAGGGGTTCTCTGGAATCTAGTGGCTTGGTCCAGCTGACCATGCAGTGAATTCTGGCCTGCCAGAACAGATTCCAGTTATGACCTTTCTACCCTGTGTATTACCTTATGATGCCTCCTCTTCCTTCTGAACCTGAGCAGCTCTTTGTGCTGTCGGGACACGAAGTTGACAGCAGCATACTCTAGAAGTGCAGAGAACACAAACAGCAAGCACACAGCCATCCAGATGTCTATGGCCTTCACGTAGGACACCTGAGAGTGAGAGTGAGAGACTGGGATGGGATTATTCACCCAAATGCCTTTTTGCTTGCCATTTTTCATGTTATTCCCAAGATCTCTGGAAGGAGCTGGTTAATCTGTAACATGGCTGACATCTACTCTTGGATATCGAAATCTAACTCATTTAGCAAGACTGTGTTATCGGGCCATTGAAACTGCATCGGGACTTTTTAGTAGCAATAATTCCAGAGTTTTAAGTTGATCCAGTTATGATAGTTTGAAAAGAAGGTAAACAGTATTTCAAACTAACTACACCAGAAGTCTTCCATAAATGAGACATTCAGTATTCTTATAAAAGTACAGCGAGCAAGTGAACAAATGCTACAACGTAGAGTGCTTGTGCACGTGTGCATGCTGCAGGTGCTTTTTCGGTGCACAGCTTCTGCCTGTGCTGGATGCTGGGGTGAATACTGGATCTTAGGGGAAGTTGTAGAGTTATTCAAGAAAGCTCTGCTATTTTTTTTGCAGGATGGGACTAGAATTTGTTCTGCTTGCCCTTAAACTGGAATAGGGCAACGGTAGCAGAATGCACTTGTTTTGAGCTGGTTTCCTGGAGGATCTGCATGGTGCCCTACAAGTGTGCAGTCTCTAGGAAGTGCACAATTTGCCCCATTTGTGAGGATAAGCATGTTCTGTACCTTGGGCAGTGATGCTCGGGAACCAGAGCTCTGCGTGGTCATAGTGAGCACTGTGGTGATGCCCAGGCCAACACGAGCAGGTGCAGCATCCATGTTGATCCAGAAGGAGATCCAGGACAGAATGACAATGAGGAGACTGGGGATATACATCTGGATCAAGTAGTAGCCCATCTGTCGCTCCAGGTGGAAACGAGCTTCTATGCAGGTGAACTTGCCTGAGAGGGTGGGAGGATACATGGAAAGTTACTGGTAAGACACAGTGAACCTCCTGGCTTTCCCCTCTGCTTGTCTGGGGACTTTCCTCTTACGGCCTAGAACCAGAGTCATGTTAGAATAAAAATTAAGCAATAAGTAACTGTCAAGGCAGTTCTGAAATACGTATGCAGGACATCAGCAGCAAAGAAAGCTCATGAGAATGTCATTCATTACTTAAAATTCACCTGCTCCCTTGCCTCAAAGTATGTTGGGAAAGAAGGTCCAAACCAAAACACTGTAGAACAAATGCAGATATTACTCAGGACAAGAGAGTTCCATACCTTTGTGTCTATCAGCTCATTACTGGCTATATATGCATATATTTACTGGGCACATGTGTGCGTGGATATATACACAAACATGTATATACATATATATTTGCACACAGATAAATATGTATATACGTTGTCCCTAGATATCTAGGACAAGGCTTTTATAACCAGAGTGCCATCATGTATGCCAAAAGACATTTGGCAAATGCATGATCCCGAATTCCTGCTCAGATGATCCCGAGGGCTAAGGGGAAACAGCACTGACCTGTGTTGTAGTGCTTTGTGCAGTATCTCAAGTCTTTTTCTTCTTTGAGGATAAACTGAGGCAATGTGAGTCCATCAGCAACTTGCACAGCTCCTTTTTCTTGCCACTCAAATATGAGATCATTCATTGTGTAACCAACTGTTGACAGAAGGGAAAAAATGGCACGTGAAATGCATATTGAATAGAGATTGGAGAGGATCCAATCCATAGAGGCTGTAGAAGAGGGCTGCGCTTGGGCAGGAGCGCAACGCGGCCTTCCTTGGCAATGCTGGAGCAAGTAGAACTGCTTATGCATGTGGTAAAAGCTACGGTAGTGACCTGCACTGGAGCTGGGATGGTGAGCAAGGAGCTGTCTGTGATAAATCACTTTTTTTTTTTCTTGAGTTCTGTTCATTGAGCTGGCTATTACTTTTTAAAATTTGACCTCTTTCTCTCAACAAGGTTATTTATTGGTTTTCACTCCTTCGGGATAAGCAACTTGTACAAGAGGGCAAATGTTCATACAGAGAAAAAAAATCCCATTTGCAACTAAAAGAACTTTCACCTTTCTCCTTTAAAGCAAAAGACTCGTGTAAATAGAAGCAAGTCAAGGCTCCTCTCATGGGATCTGCAGAGGTTTGGCTTCTCTAGGAAATGTCGTATGTGGTAAATAAATGGAAAAACCCCGAGCAAGTCCTTTTGGGATGGCAGGGAGAGCAAAGAACCGATGGAGAGGAGGAGGAGACTCTAATGAACTCACTTGAAGCAGCTTGCAGCTGGTGTTCTTGCTTTGTGGGCTTCTGAACTTAATTTACCCTCATCTTTTCCAAGAGATTTCTGTCTCCAGTAGGAACCATTATTGCCCCCATTGGCCTCTGATGTAAATGCAGATGATAGTGGAGGGATGGTGGTGGTGGAAGGGATGCTAGCAGAGAAGAATGAGAGATGAAGGGCTGTGAGAGAGCAGCCGCAGCACACCCAGCAGAGCAAGTCTCTCCTGGCTGTGCATCACACCTTCCTCTAAAGGAACAGTGAAGGATGAACCAGGATGGGTTTCCATCCAGGAAGGGAAATGGAAGGGGAGAAAGGGAAAACATGTTGTGTCCTTTCCAAAAGGGAGACATGCACAGGACTCACAGCTTTCTAACTGCATGATGCATGTCTGCACGTCCATTGGGAAGTTCTTCAAGTCCATAGGGCAGGCCAGAGTCAGTGTGATCCTGAAGAGAGAAGACAGCATAGGGTAATGCCAAACTTTATTTTTCCTGGATAAGGCATAATTAACTTAAAAATCTGCAACAACATTGATCAAGAAAATGAGAATGTGTTTCATTTGAGTAATTCTTCTGTGAAGGAATTTGCCCCAGAAGGATGATGCAACACTGGCACAAGCCACAAAGGCTTTGCGTGTCCATCCATGGGAGGCTTCAAGACTTGACCAGACAAAGCAGCCAACCTGATCTAGTCTTGGCAATAATCATGTTTTGAGCAAACTGTTGAGTGGGAGACTTCCAAAGATTCCTTCCCATCACGTTTCTATGACTCTGAATCAGATGCGCTCTCTTTTAAAAACTCCTCAGTTCCTTTTATCCAAAGGTAAACTCAGTGTTTCCAGTTTCTCACTTCAGGCTTGAACACCGGGTGTTTAGCTCTGCCCTTCCCTGCATCTTTGGGTCCCCATTCAGTCATCTCACCTGATGCTGTAGAGGACATTGCCATTTCTGGAGATCCTGAGGAGCTTGTTGTCTGTAGTGATCTCATGGAAATGGGCCCCTTTCTCATTGGCAAAGAACAAATCGGGCTTCCAGATGGAGTCCAGCATGGAGGGGTCCAGATCCAGGGAGTCATCTGGGTATTCATTGTACGCCAGCCGTGGGTCATTCCACTGCTGTCGCAAAAAGATGTTCACCCTGTAATCCTGCATGGTGTGAAGGAAGAGTGGAGAAATGAGGTTAGAGAGTGCTCAGAGCAGGCCCAAGGTGTTGAGAACTGGAGAATGTTGATGAAACGGCCTCAAAAGCGAGCCATGTCCAGCTTTACGCTCCTCATCTATAGCAAACCTTGGCAGCTCCCAAGGAGCTATTGTTATTTTAAGCTATGCAGTTTAGAGCCATCTCCTATGGTGAGCAGCTACCTGTCATTACCCCTTGCTCCTTCATAACAACTGGCAGCTCTGTGTGAAGCGCCAAGACTGCAGGTTCAAGCGTTGGCCTGGGGAAGCAGTGTTCAGCTGCAGACATCAAAGAGAGCAGGTATCTGCAAACTGACTGTTGAGAAGGATTAAGGGAGAAAGGGCACCAAAGTCAACTTCCCCATATTGTGACTATCTATGGGTCCTTTTGGCATTTGTGAAAGCAGAAGGCTTGATGAGACAGGAAGCCCGGAGAAGGGATATAGGGTTCTGCAGGAACACTAACATAAAGTGAAGCTCAAATGAACTAGCAGGAGCCTTTGATGAGAGTATGTGAACATCGGAGGAATGTGCATGGAGTCTCCTCTGTTCCTAAGCTGGTGTTCCTGGTTCCTCTCTCTTACATCAAAATGCTATAAACACTACAGATTCTATAGGCTGGCCATCTTCTATAATTGAAGCTAGTCCCCCAGCACTGCAGAAATGATACCTGCCTCATAACTTTGTGTCTTACAGCTCTCCTGAGCAACACAGGACGAGGCTGGCTGCTGAGGTCTAGCTCAGACATCCCAGCTGCTCTCCTGGACAATTACAGGCAGTTCCTCTTCTCCTTATGTGACCAACAGATTCCCAGGGCCATCTGCTTATCCCTCTTCTGCTGAATGTCACAGAAGAAAGTGATGCAACGAACTGAGAGGGGGAGAGGATGAGCCAGCTCTCAGGAGAGGGATAAAAAAGCTCCATGTCCATAAATGAATTTACATTTTTTTAAGTACAGAGACTGTGTCCGAACAGCAGAATACTACAAACCAATTTCACTGCCCTGGTCTGAACTAGGAGTTGTTATCACGTTTAGTGATTTGTTACCTTTCTAATTCTGATGAAACTTGAAGTCTCTTATTAAGAGACAAGAAAGGGAGGGACTCTGATGTGCTTTCCAGTATCTAATACTTCCTTCAGGTACTACGACCTTGCCTTCAGTGCGAGAATATTCAGCAGCTCTGCGGGGCTACCTCTAACACTCCCATCGTTTCTGTTCTTTCCTTTGGAGAACCTAAGGCCCTGAAGCTGAAGGATACATTTGGAGGACAGTTATCTGATATTGCTGCCTCAAGTGCCTCACCTGATCGTCAACCTACAGCCTCTTGCCTTGGAGGTACGAACGCTACCAAATGAGCCAAACTTGTTGGGCTGATCTGCCCCTATTTCTACAGCAATGAGGCCCTACAGAGTCCAGTCACACCAGCGGGCTGGGAGAAAACAGTCTCTTGGACATTCTGGGGTTTTGGATGGGGCAGTCTGTAGTCAAGCCCATGTTTTGGAAATGCGTTTCAGGCCACTTGTGCCATCTGTATCTTTGGAGCTAATGACCTTAATAATTGTGACAGTAGCAAATGGACCAAAGACTTGATGCTAAAAGGAGCAGACTTCTGAACATTAAAAAAAAAAAAAAAGTCAGGACATTCTCTCCTTCTGCTGCTATCTCAAATGCTGCTTCCACAAGTCCTAGCGGGTCCCTCTGACTCAATTATCCGTGTCTGTCTCCCACAGATAATGTGTCTTGAGAAAATGTGAATAACTGCAGACAGCCAGGAACAAGGGCCATAGTGCAGGACAAGCCAATAATGCACACCTGAAAGACGAAAATAACCCTGAATCTCCACTTTCCATGGCATGAACAGCTCCCTGAACAAACTATATACTTTAAATTCTCCCTTTTCTCTGCATAAAGATCTGCAACCATTGCAGTCAGGGGAAATCAGTGTCACCAACCTAATAGGTAGCAAGCAAAAGGTTGTTTTGCTTACTCAGCTGCAAATAAGCTGGATGCTACCAGGTCAGCTTCAGTTGGGAGTTTATTTCATGTACAACAGAAATTAAATACATGTTTGGAATAAACTTCAGTGCTGGTTGCCCAGAAATGTTCTTAGTCTGATGAAGTTCTTGTTGGAAGAAGGAGGAATGTGAAGCCAATCTTTTCACAGGGTCTGTGTTACTGCAGATAAGCCTTGAAGCTTTGTGACCGGAGTAAATTCACTGGTGTAGCTGCAACACTTGCCAATAGGAAAGGAAATGGTATGAAGAGTGGTGTAGTGGGCTGCATATTGGTACCACAACAGGCATAAGAGAATTGTTAACAGAATGACTGCCATAGTTGTAACAACCAGGATTTGGGACATTAACCAGTGCCTGTGAACCAGCTGAAAATGAACTTCTCTTAGCAGATGACTGTGGGAAGGCCCCTCCTAACTTGTCTCCAGAGAACTTTGACTCGTATTCCACATGGGAAAGCCCAGGAGCCTGGTGTGAAGGGCATGCTGGCGTATGGGACTGCAGCTACCTCCTTCCAGGGTGTGTTCAGCAGTGTGGTAAGTAACTCTGGTAGACATTAATCCTTGTTCTCTTCCTTTGGAGACAAGTATATGCAGTGGATATTTGGTTTTCTAGTACAGATACCTGAATGCTTATGTAATGATACAGAAAGGGCAAGGCCAAAGAAAAGTGGGTGAAATTTGCTGGCTTTACTGTTTTATAGCATCAGTAGGGAATTGCAGGTAATTCTGTGTGTGTGTATGTTTATGAAGATCTTCATTTCCAGTGTGTTTGTTCCACAGTCCTGGGCTGGCTGCTAAGAATGGCTGTGTTCACCCAGGTGAGTTTCCCTTACTGACAGAGAGCTGCCCTCAACTCTGGCAGTGAAGGTGTTCGTGCACAGCTGAGATCTGAAGGGCTGCACATGGTACCTGCGGGATTTGCAGAGCATTTTGGAGCCCTTGGTTTGCAGTGCATTGAGATTTTCGATAAGTAATTGGGTATTTGGGTGCCTGTGGGGAAGCCTTTGTGATTTTGCCATCATTCCCCCACAGAAGATCATACAGCTTTCCAGACAAAAATCCCTTTTCCCTGGCTGCCATTCTGAATTTGAAATGTAGACATTTATTATGAAGTTTTTAACTCTAACCAAAGAGACTGCCAAGATAGTCCTGCTTCAGGCCTAATCCTGAAACTAGCAGACTGAAATGCTGTGAAAATCTTCCCATTCTACATTGCCTGACTTGTTACTAGCCCATCATCTCTGTGGGGCCGATGGCTGGTTTCAAGAGTGACTGATTCCAAAAATTAAGTTCAAAACTAAGCATTTGCTATAGGTTTTGTGTGATGATTCTTATGTTTCCTGCGGACTTTGAGCTGAGTGGATCCAGTATTTCATGTATGACTCTCATACTCTTTCAATCACGTTTGCTGTGAGGCTGGAGTGAGTTGCTCGGTCCAGTCTGCAGAAACGGTTCACTCTCTGATCAGAAAGCTCATGGACAGATGTCTCCACACGCATATTTTACAGTGGAACCACGGCAACCTCCAGTTTATTCTGTCTGCCTTAGATGTTCAGAGAGCAAATATGGTTGAGTTGTAGCTGGCTGGAAGATTACATTTGGTTTGCCCTTTTCAGATGGAATGACTATGGCATGAAATCAGCAAAAAGGTGATAAATTTGCATACATAAGCTGTGCGTGAGAGCTGTATTGGCTGTTTTATATATATATATATATATATTTTTGTCTGTAACATGATGGCCCTTAAAATTAGAATTGGGAAGGGTCATCTTGGGCAGAGAGTCCAGCTCCTGACAATTTTATGTGTTCAGATCCAAAAATACTTTGTTCTCCATATGCCTCTATTGTACAAAAAAACACTCCCATCTGCTCAAGCCAGCTAGAGATCCATGAACAAAACAGCAGCTTCCACAGAAAGAGAAATCAAGGGCATCACTTAATTCCAAGTTTGCCATTATAGGAGGAAATTTAGTAGATGAAGTGCTTAGATAATCCTAGCAGTTCTCTTATGCTACAAAGAAAAAATATAGCTAATGTAGTTCATTCACCTCGAAACAAGACTCTGGGTCCTACATAGTTGATTTCTGCTTCATTTTGTATGAGGAATTTGTGGCTTTGCTTTAGGCTCCCTGTGCTGATAAGTCTAGGGGAAAGTGTGTTGTTATAAAGACAGGACAAGTCGTGAATAAAAATAAGCTGGTAGGGTGAGTACATCTTGTATTTGTTGTCTGGAATCCCCTGCTGTTGGCTGCATTATTGTAGTAATGCTTTGGGACAGAAGGAGGCTGTCTAGACCCATTCACCCATCTGTCTGGCTTTTGTAGTTGTAATTTCTTTCCCTTTGAAGCACTTGCTGGATTTGGAAGAATACGTTCCCAATCACAGGTTCCCTTGCTCTCCTTAAGAGCTGATTACAGGCAAGGCTGATGGATATATGATATGTGCCACAACCACAAATAAATGCCTCAGCAATTAGGGGCACCAATAAATGCCTCAGCAATTAGGGGCTTTTGTATCGGTCTCCAGCTCTGCAAGATGCTGAAAGGGGTTGCTTCCCTCTTTTTAGTTGGACTATGCCCTGGGAAATTCTCTTTGCTGGTCGAATTTCTGATTTTTCTTATCCTTAGAGTTGTCATGACTTCATTCCCTGCCTTGTTCCTTCTGAACGCTTGTGGGGCAGGCACCAGCTTTCGGTGTGTCTGGAGGTCCCGTGCCTTCTTTCAGCTCCCTGCTGATGTACGCAGACCCGGACTCCCAAGTGACTGCACGGGACCCCCGTGGTGATCTGTGCCCTTCCACCCCGCTCTGGTCCTCTTCCATTTTTCTTCTTCCTCTGCTTCTCCTTCAAACTTCTCCTAAACTTCCCACCTCCCCAGCGCTCTGCCTGCCGCCCTCACGATCCCTGCTGTCTGTGGGCCTTGGCCAGTGCAAGCTGCAGTGCCAGCAGCACTGCTTTCTGCGGGACTAACAGCTCCACTGCAGGTATTATTTTTAAGGCTTCTCTAATTACATGTGTGATATCTATAAATAAGTAAATCCGTGATTCTTTTCCTGCAAGTACCAGTGACATAGTTACTGTTTACAGCACAGTGCAGTATTCCATGACCTGGACCTGAGCCTAGCCATGCTTAGGGAGCATAAAAATTTATATAAACATAAATATATATGTGTGTGTGTGCGTGCATATATACACATACACATTTTTTTTAAAAAAAAAGAACAGCACACCTCTTTTCTCTTGAGGCTTATGAGGCAGCTGTAACTAACTAACTATACTAATAACTAGCTGTGCTAGGGCCAGTGGTGAACTGCAGCCTTCTTTATGGCAAGATGGTTGAATTGTTTCTCTCGCATCTTTTCAGACATAACTTGATCACTTGTCCTGATTCAAAGCAGTCATATCTTAATCTCAAAAACCCCCCATAAAAGACCTGCTCTTCCCATAACCTATGGCAGGGAGCTGGTGCTGTCTGTTGGAATGTGCTGCATCCTTGAACAGTGGGGTGAGTGTGTCTGGATTCTCCACAAATGTATATCCAAACCCAGAAAATCCTACAGATTGCTCTTGGGCTGGGCTCTCATTTTTTTAGATGCTTCAGTACCTGTGTCACATATGTTCTTTGGGGACAGTGATTCTTCTTGTAAATGCTGACAAGAAGTGCAGTATATTAGGTTGGTGTAATGCTGTTTCAGCCTGGCATCTGGACCAGCTTGTCAGAGCTGGCTTGGGTATTTTCAGACAAACCAAGATGCCCAGAGGGTGTTCTCGAGTTCCCAGATTTTTTTTTACAGAAAATAGAATACAAAATGGTGGGCACCTGCAGGGGATAGTCCCAGCATGTCTCAGGAGTGAACTGTACCTCCCTCTCTCATGCCAGTCTACAGTAATTTTATGGGGTATCTTGCTTACTGACATGTTCTGCCTTTTGGAATGACTGCTCCAAAGTATCTCATAATGTAGAATAGATGCAATGAAAAATATGCAATTATATAATC